CGCTTAAGGGATGAAAATAAGTTGTGGATGACTGACTTGAAAAAGATAATTGATGAGTTTCTGCACTATTTATGCATTGTTTTTGCAAGGATAAGAAGGCTCACCTATATGAGGTTTTGGAGAGGGTAATGAGGCTGCGGGAGAGACGATGACCCCTTTGTGGGAGAAGAGAAATGTTTATTTAACCCTAACCCACATTTTTTTTAATGTTGTTGCTTTACAGGGTCTTCATCCAAAGGAAGCAAAATTGGAAGTATCCATACATGAGAAGTTTTTGATTCAATGAAGAATCATTTTCGAGGAAGGAAGGGATGTTGTGAGAACATATGGCTTAACTATTCAAGAAACCAACAAAGCCTAGGAAATAATTGGGTAATAAAGAGTCCGAAATTCTAAGAAAACTTGATATCAACACATGAAAAAATCTCTCCTATCCGTGAGAGATTTTTCTCACTCAAGACAGATTTTCCTCTTAATGATGGATGTTTCATATTCTTTTGTATATCTTTCTCAAATAATAAGAAACAAAACCAATATCAAAGAATTTTGGAAATCCATCAAGGAAGAATCAAGATTATATCTTTTCAAGTTTCCTTACCAAGATCACATATTCATAAATAAGGAAACTAACATAAAAAAATATTTATCACAAGATCATAGACGAATTCAATTTCTTAATTAATCATGAAACCTTCTTTAAATTGAGAGATCTTTAAGAGATATTTTTTAATTTAAGAGATCTTTAAGATATCTTCTTTAAATTAAGATATTTTCAAGATACTTTTTTAACTTAAAAAATTCTCACCATTTAAGAGATTTCCTCAAATGGATGACATATCTATACTATATTGGTTCTAATTTTTCTATTTATACTTTTATTTGTATTCTAGTTTATATTTAATTTTCTATATAATTTTAATAATTTATTTATTTATTTTCTTTCATTTCACATGACCTATAACTGTAAGTAGACATTCAATTCATATTTGTACTCATTCAAGTATCAAACTAATAGAATACAAAGTTTTTAACTTGACAATTTGAGAGGTTTCTTCAACCTTCTTGTTGAATGGGGAAGTAGTATCTACTTATCAAGGTAACTTATAACGTTTTCATCATTCTCTTTTTCTGAATTGATTTTAATTTATCAAGATTCTTGTGGTGCTTTAATTTATTTATTTAACTCTATTACCTTAGTTCATATCACTTGATTAATAGTTGGTTAAATAGGGGTAGTTTATCTAAAATTTAAGTCTTTGATCTTATTTGAGTGTTTTGTGAGTTTTGAATTGCATTGTTGATCCTAAGTTCTCTATTGTTATTTGAATATCGACACTCATTATTATTTGAGTATCAGTCACCTTTTATTTTTTTTTGAAGTGGAGTATTAGTAACAACGTCATTACTCTAAAGGCAATGAGTGTCGATTTGATAGCTAATGATAAATTTAAGAGAACAAAATAAATTGCCATAAATATAAGGATGTCTTCTTAAACCATTTACTCAAGTTGTACCAATTTTATGTTGACAAAGGCCGAGGGCAACTTTAGTACAAACAAACACTATTAATCTAAACAGGAAAAAAATCTATAAATTTGCATGTCTTTTGTCTTTCACTAGTTTTCTTATATTAGTAAAAGAGTATTATTCTTTCAAGTTTTAACCTATAACTCTTTAGGATTGTTGTTTATATTTTAATTGGAATTATTGAAGTGTACTATTTAATTTTTAGGTCAAATTCCTTTTTTTTTTTTGCTTTAAAATCATATTGATTTTTTCTTAACAACTTAGTGTTTTGTTAGTTTAACTATTAGAAAAGCATGTTAATACTGTTAACAGTTACCTGACAACTCCTCAAACATACGTGACATCTTGGACTTAAACATTACTAGAAGGAGCAAACTACGATATTGTATTCAAGTTTTTTTTTTTTTTTAGCAATTTTAATTACTTTCATTAATTCTCTAGCAATGTTAAAGACCACCAGTCATGCATGTCCCTAGAGAGTGGCCCAATAGTTAATTTTTTCTATATTATGGTTATTGATTTGTTTACATAATAGTTAAAACCACAAAGGTAGTAAATTATTAAGAAAAAAATAATATGATCTTAAAGAGAAAATATCAAACTACAAGAGGTAAAAATTGAAATTGACCCTAAAAATTAAGTAGTATACTTTAGTCATTCTAACCAAAACATAAATAATAATCCCGAAAAGTAGGAGGTTAAAACTTTTTAAAAAAAAATAGCACTCTTTTATAAGTCTAAGAAAATAAGTGAAAAACAAAAAGCAGTTGCATATTATAGATCTGGTTGTACTTACATTGATGTTGTTTATTTGGTAATAAAATTGCTCTCAGCTTTTGTCACCATAAAATTGATATATAACTTGAGCTGGAGTTCCAAATAGATATCCTTATTGTAACACCCACCAAAACCTTTTTTTTTTTAATTAATAAATATAATTATTTATTAACTTAATTTAATTTATTACATTTTATTTCTATTTTAATTTAATGAAAAAAAGGGAGTAAAATTTACCAAGTATTAAATTAAAAATAATTTTACAAAAAAAGGGTAAAAAAATTAAGTTCGGGAGGTATTTTTGAAAAGAAAATCCAAAATTCAAGGGTCAAAAACGCAATTTAAAAAAAATTTGCCAC